TCGAAACGGGCACAATCATCGAGCACTCAATCGATGACGTCTGAGTCTTAAGGTCGGTCAAAATGGGGTGTCTACAGTTGCCCCTCTTTGACAGAACTTGGAAGTCATGAAATGACGGGAGTGAATGTCAAAGCCCAGAGACGACCCATTTTTGGCAAGGCCGAAGACTTAGACAAACAGGCAAGATAACAAAGAGATGCGCTCGCAGGCGGGGGCAAGTTGCAAATGACATGCACAATGCAGAACATAACTTATGATTATGCAAAGAGGATTGTGATGAAGCATTTATACAAATGTTATGCAAAGAAATGCTACAACAAACTCGTACATAAGCAAATAAGTAAACACGCCATGCGTGGGAATTACAGACTGAACTAGATTTCATGCAGAAAGGATGTAAGAAAATTATACAATCTTAGCGAATGTGTGATAGATACACAAAGTGAACATATGATAGATACACAAAGCGAATGTGTGATAGATACACAAAGTGAACATATGATAGATACACAAAGCGAATGTGTGATAGATACACAAAGTGAACATATGATAGATACACAAAGCGAATGTGTGATAGATACACAAAGTGAACATATGATAGATACACAAAGCGAATGTGTGATAGATACACAAAGCAAATGTGTGATAGATACACAAAGTGAACATATGATAGATACACAAAGCGAATGTGTGATAGATACACAAAGTGAACATATGATAGATACACAAAGCGAATGTGTGATAGATACACAAAGTGAACATATGATAGATACACAAAGCGAATGTGTGATAGATACACAAAGTGAACATATGATAGATACACAAAGCGAATGTGTGATAGATACACAAAGTGAACATATGATAGATACACAAAGCGAATGTGTGATAGATACACAAAGCAAATGTGTGATAGATACACAAAGTGAACATATGATAGATACACAAAGCGAATGTGTGATAGATACACAAAGTGAACATATGATAGATACACAAAGCGAATGTGTGATAGATACACAAAGTGAACATATGATAGATACACAAAGCGAATGTGTGATAGATACACAAAGTGAACATATGATAGATACACAAAGCGAATGTGTGATAGATACACAAAGTGAACATATGATAGATACACAAAGCGAATGTGTGATAGATACACAAAGCAAATGTGTGATAGATACACAAAGTGAACATATGATAGATACACAAAGCGAATGTGTGATAGATACACAAAGTGAACATATGATAGATACACAAAGCGAATGTGTGATAGATACACAAAGTGAACATATGATAGATACACAAAGCGAATGTGTGATAGATACACAAAGTGAACATATGATAGATACACAAAGCGAATGTGTGATAGATACACAAAGTGAACATATGATAGATACACAAAGCGAATGTGTGATAGATACACAAAGCAAATGTGTGATAGATACACAAAGTGAACATATGATAGATACACAAAGCGAATGTGTGATAGATACACAAAGTGAACATATGATAGATACACAAAGCGAATGTGTGATAGATACACAAAGTGAACATATGATAGATACACAAAGCGAATGTGTGATAGATACACAAAGTGAACATATGATAGATACACAAAGCGAATGTGTGATAGATACACAAAGTGAACATATGATAGATACACAAAGCGAATGTGTGATAGATACACAAAGCAAATGTGTGATAGATACACAAAGTGAACATATGATAGATACACAAAGCGAATGTGTGATAGATACACAAAGTGAACATATGATAGATACACAAAGCGAATGTGTGATAGATACACAAAGTGAACATATGATAGATACACAAAGCGAATGTGTGATAGATACACAAAGTGAACATATGATAGATACACAAAGCGAATGTGTGATAGATACACAAAGTGAACATATGATAGATACACAAAGCGAATGTGTGATAGATACACAAAGCAAATGTGTGATAGATACACAAAGTGAACATATGATAGATACACAAAGCGAATGTGTGATAGATACACAAAGTGAACATATGATAGATACACAAAGCGAATGTGTGATAGATACACAAAGTGAACATATGATAGATACACAAAGCGAATGTGTGATAGATACACAAAGTGAACATATGATAGATACACAAAGCGAATGTGTGATAGATACACAAAGTGAACATATGATAGATACACAAAGCGAATGTGTGATAGATACACAAAGCAAATGTGTGATAGATACACAAAGTGAACATATGATAGATACACAAAGCGAATGTGTGATAGATACACAAAGTGAACATATGATAGATACACAAAGCGAATGTGTGATAGATACACAAAGTGAACATATGATAGATACACAAAGCGAATGTGTGATAGATACACAAAGTGAACATATGATAGATACACAAAGCGAATGTGTGATAGATACACAAAGTGAACATATGATAGATACACAAAGCGAATGTGTGATAGATACACAAAGCAAATGTGTGATAGATACACAAAGTGAACATATGATAGATACACAAAGCGAATGTGTGATAGATACACAAAGTGAACATATGATAGATACACAAAGCGAATGTGTGATAGATACACAAAGTGAACATATGATAGATACACAAAGCGAATGTGTGATAGATACACAAAGTGAACATATGATAGATACACAAAGCAGCGTATATGCAAGATCTGAAGGCTCGCTCGAGCAGGAATTTACTCGCTCGAGCAGACTGCAAAACATAAGAACTTTTGGGTATATGCATTTCACGCTCGAGCGTGAAACTCGTCGCTCGAGCGGAAGCGCTTGTACTCAGAGTTCACGCTCGAGCGTGAAGTTCCCCGCTCGAGCGTGGGTCAAATTTTTGGAATTTCTAGATTGATCTTCAAGCACAAAACTCAACCTTTAAAGCTTTAAACTTTATTTTTTCTGGGCCAAATTTTCTGGAGAACACTTAGAAACCCATAATATAACATGTTTAAAGAATCATAACAAGAAATCATGGCCCAAAATCATGCCAATTATGCAAAATTCAACTTGAAACACTAGATTAATCCATGAACATAACATGCATGCACATCTTTGAACTAAGGCTTTCCAAAATATGATCAAATGCTACTAAATAACATGAAACTTTCCCAAAATTAAAGTGAACTCAATACATGCATGAGGGAATTCTTGAAATCAACCTTCAAATTGCCATGAAACATGCATGCATGCATGGAATGACTAACAATTGCTTAGTTTTAACCCAATTCTTGCATGAGTTCAACAATTTCACTTGAATCTTAGTAGAATCAAATTCAATTATACAACTAAAAACTTGATTCCTTACCTAGAGTTCACAATTCCCTTAAGTTTAGCCAAATCCTATAACTAACCACCAAACCCTTCCAACTCTTGATCCTTCCTAGCAATTCTCTTTTATCCCCTTAGAATTGAACCCAAGCTTCTCCTTCTCCCTCCCTCTCTCGTTTGGGACTTAAAGGTGAGGAGATGTGGAGTGCCAAATAGAATTAGTGGGGTCAAATGGTTTATTTGGCGGTAGTGGTGGACTAAATTGAGTCAAATGAGCATTAACTTTATTTAATTTAATCGTTCCGAACTGAATTTCAATTAAACCTACCATAAAATTCTAAAAATCCTAATTAACATATAAATCAAATCAATTTTGTAATCGGATGCCGATAAGGCCTTCAATTCGCAAACCGAAACTAGAACGTAAACAGATCTTCCTACGCCTAACAGATATAAACACAAACAATGCAACACACACATGCAGTTTAATTCAGAATTTCACCTTAATTACTAATTAGGCATAATCAATCATGGATTAACATTAATCAGAGGTCGGGGTTGTTACATTTTTCCCCCCTTAAAAGAGTTTGGTCCTCCAAACTCGAATTACTTTCATTCTGGAACAACATTGGGTCCAATGGGAACAAATCCGGATATTTCTTCATCATGTCTTCTTCTGTTTCCCAGGTTGCATAGGTTCCGCCGTGGTTTTGCCAATCAACTTTTCCTAACGGTATTTCTTTGTTTCTCAATCTTTTGATCCTGCGGTTCATGATCTGGATAGGTCTTTCCTCATAAGTGTAGTCATCCTTCAAGAGCACTTGTGTTGGTTCAATGACATGGAGCGGATCTCTCAAATACTCTCGAAGCATCGATACATGAAAGACGTTATGCATATGCCCCATTACTGGAGGTAAGGCTACCCGATAGGTTACTGAATTGATCTTTTCAAGGATTTCATATGGTCCAACATATCTTGGCGCCAATTTGCCCTTAACACCAAACCGAGTTTGACCCTTCATCGGGGTCGCCTTTATGAACACATGGTCCCCAACTTTATATTCCCTATTTCTTCTTCGGACATCAGCATAGCTCTTCTGCCGACTCTGTGCAGTTTTCAGACGCTGTTGGATCAGTTTCACCTTCTCAGTTGTTTCTTGCACAAGTTCTGGTCCTAACAAAGGTCTATCACCTATCTCAGCCCAGCATATCAGAGAACGACATTTTCTTCTATACAAAGCTTCGTAAGAAGCCATTCCAATGCTTGAATGGTAACTGTTGTTGTATACAAATTCAGCTAATGGCAAATAGGTGTCCCAACTTCCTTGGAAATCTAATACACACATTCTAAGCATATCTTCCAGAGTTTGATTGGTTCATTCAGTTTGCCTAGAAATGGTAACGGGGCGGGGCAGGGAGGAGCCGGGGATCGCACTCCCCGTCCCCGATCCCCGAAGCTACAAAACTCCCCGTCCCCGATCCCGGACGGGGAACCCATCACCCCCCCACCCCCGCCCCCAACGGGGATCGGGTTTCCCCGACCCCGGAAAATCCCCGTAGCTCCCTTTCTCTCTGTTTAGCTTTCTCTTTCAATAATAAATTATCAACATCATTTTCATCAACAACATCATCAACGAAGACAGACAGATGTGGAGACAGACAGATTACACAAAAAAAAAATGTATATACAGATTAATAATATACAGACCCGTAGCTCCGTCGGCAACATCATCAAGATCTGAGATGTGAGATGGGATCTACGGTGGTGTGGAGACTGCGGTGGTGTGGAGGAGATGGGATCTACGTAGATCTGTCCAGATCTGTCGTGGTGGAAACCGAAGCCGTCACCACTTTGAAGGTTGGTTCCCCACCATGTTATCAAGGAGAGGCTGAATCGGTTGCCTTCGGCCTGCGTTGGAGACAGGGTGATGGCCACCGTGAAGAAAGGGAAGCCAGATCGCAGGCTGAATCGGGGTGCTGTTACTATTTCTTGGCTGATGAAGTCGAGACCAACAATGAAGAAGTCATTAATGCCATCATGCAGGATGTGGACACCGACAAGGATGGACGTAGAAGTCATGAAGAGTTTGCATCAATGATGAAGGCCGGGACGGATTGGAGAAAAGCATCAAGGCAGTATTCAAGAGAGACGGTTAGTGTGTAGAGGTCCGGCGGGCGGCCAAGGCGAGGCTGCCGCCCGCCGGGGAAGCAGAATTACTAGCTTCTTTAACCTTGCTCTGATACCATGTAAGAATTTATGTATTTATTGATTGATGATTGTTGTTTTGATCTATTACAATGATTCCTATATATATAGAAGAGTAGGTGGTAGTAGGTGGTAGGTGGAGTAGGTGAAGTGGAGGTGGGGTGATAGGCACTACTTAACCTTAGTTCTGTCCCCAAAGATTGTTGCAAACTCTGCCAAAATCTTGACACAAACTTTGAATCCCTGTCAGATACAATAGATACTGGTACCCCATGTAATCTCACAATTTTATTCACATACATGTTAGCCAGCTTGTCTGCATTGTAAATAGTCTTGACAGGCTGAAAATAGGCAGACTTAGTTAAACGATCTACAATGACCCAAATAGAGTCCATACCTCAGGGAGAGCGAGGCAATCCCACTATGAAATCCATGGTTATGTGCTCTCATTTCCATTCCGGTATTGGGAGTGGTTGTAGCAAACCAGCAGGTCATTGATGTTTAGCTTTAATCTGTTGGCAATGTAGATATCTAGCCACAAAATCTGCAATACTCTTTTTCATTCCAAGCCACCAAAAATTCTGTTTCAAATCATGATACATCTTCGTATTCCCTGGATGCATAGCAAATTTAGTATTGTGGGCTTCAGACATAACACGTTTTCTCAATTCACAACAATCAGGTACACAAAGACGGTTTTAGAATTTAAGCATATCATTCTCAAACACAAATCCCGACTTCAGCTTCGAATCAAATTCCTTTATGATCTTTTTCAAGTATTCATCTTCACATTGCTTCTGTTTGATTTCTTCAATAATTGTAGGTTGAGCGGAAATAGCAGCTAAAATCCCACATTGCTCTCGCAAAATAATTTCAATCCCATTCTGTTCCAGATCATCTAACAACTCTTTTCGATTAGATAGCAAACATGGCAAATTTGCAATGGATTTTCGGCTTAAGGCATTTGCCACGGTATATGCCTTCCCTGGATGGTACAGAATCTGTAGATCGTAGTCTTTAATCAATTCTAGCCACCTTCTTTGTCTCATGTTTAGTTCCTTTTGGGTAAAGAAATATTTGAGGCTCTTATGATCTGTATATACTTCACAAGTTACCCCATACAAGTAGTGACGCTAGATTTTCAAAGCAAACACCACTGCTGCCAATTCAAGATCATGTGTCGGGTGTAGACGCGCCCTTGGGGCTTCATGCTACAATTCGGACTCAAATGTCACGGTTCTTAATCTGATCTCACAATGTGCGATGTGAGATTGATAAATCACCGAAGAGTCCAAATTCGACAAATCGTTTTGGAAAACTGATTTTTGTGAAGAAGTGCCAAACATGGACTGCTTTGCCAGATACAGAGTTGCCACCTAAATATTTATTTTGGAAAATTTAGGAAACCCTGACTCGTGCCTAAGGCCACGTGTCCGTCATCACCAAAGTTGCCTCGGCTCGGGAACTTGGATACGAGAGGGGAAGGTCATCCATGAGCACCCCCGTTCGCCCGATCAAAGATCGACCTGTACTAAGCATGATATCTTGTTTTTGAAAACACATGCGTTCTTATTTCGATTAATTATCTAGAATTACTATGTGATGCGCACAACACACAAGTATAGACTAGATCGCCTAATTTGGAACAAAGCATCGCATATCCGTTTGTTTGAAAATAGTTTGAACTTTGTTACTCGCAAGTAGGTTAAAAACACAGATTTCAATGAATCGTTCCAATTCAAGTAATCCAACCTTCACCCACAGGCATTCAGGCAGTTATATCACATAAGCAATTAGCCTCATGGCAAGCATGCTGTCATGGCAACACTTACACACATGCAAGATGCTAAAGCATAAACACTCACAGTGTACTCCAAGCCAAAATAAAGAACTAGTTAGTAATCAATGCATGATCCTAGTTCATGTTAAAATGGCTAATGCATTGCATGTAAAGTGCAACTAGAATAGGCTCGACTAATCTAAAATGGCATATGAGATGCAACAATTGATACACGTATTCAACTTGGAATTGAAATACAATGCAGTTAGTATGATGCGCCGAGCCTGGTGCATGCAATACAGATGAATGGATACAAACATGCAAGCATAAGGATGCTAAACGAAATATTCCCTAAAACTAACCATCGTAAGCGGTTATGTAAAAGGGAGAAAGAAATGGGGGTTGAAAGGCATGCATCACACACACGCACGCTTATTACAAAATTATGCCCTCTCGACGGAGGGACCGAAAGAATAATACAAATCATCTAATTAACTAACTAACAAGCTAATTAATTATTACAAAATCAAATCGAAATAAATAACTATTCTAAGTTATTAAAACACTGAAAAGGCCTCGAGACGAGGGATGAATGCATGCTCGAACGGCTTCGCTCAGAAATCCATCACCATGCTTCATGTTGCCTCTATTTGCACTGCTCCGTACCTCTAAAAGCCGTGCCAACTTCTGTGACACTTCTGAACCACCTTGTGGGCATGCTGAGAGGCCATCGGCCAAAAGATGAGGCCATCGGCCAAGGTAAACTAGTCATCGATCAAAAATAGGGCTCTCGGCCAAATGTTTGTTGCCGATTGGCACTGAACATGGTCGATCGACCATCTCTTCCTGTAAAAAGCTCCTGTTGCTGCAGCAGAGGACAAACAGAGCATGGCAATACATTTACAAGACAATGTCTGCACAACTACACCCCTTATCATGTTTAAGACTCAAAGGTGTGTAGTTCTCGACCCTCGAGCCACCGATCAGGCATTTCAATGCATGATGGCCAAAGGAGCCAAGTGTGCAATTCAATATCAAATGAAATGCACAAAAACACATAAGGGGCCCCAACCTCTATCATGCTTGATCAAGAGGCAAATGAATACACACACAATGCAATGCAACCTAAGCATGCAAGCAAGCTAATGCAACATGAGCATGCAAGCAAGCGATATACAACCTAAGCATGCAAACATGCATGCATACAATGTAATAGGCATGCAACAACAATACCAATAATAAACATACAACAACATGTAATCTAACAAGTATGCAAGATGGATGAGCATGCAACAACATGTCAATTAGCAAGCATGCAACAAGCATGTAAGCATAATGTAATAGGACTAGCATGCCACAACATGAAAGGGAACTAATATGCAACAACATATAATGTACCAAGTATGCAACAAGCATGCGACAACATGTGAGCTAAACATGCAACAACATGCGAAAGGATGGACTTAAACTAAAGTGGACAACTCTTAAACATGCCCAAATCAGTGGCCGAAATGCTATGGAGATGAAGACAAAGGTACGTACAAACATGCATGCCAATTGGCCTATCACCTAAGCATAGGAGAGCAACTTTCAAGAACACTTAAAAGGGGACAAATATGGACATGTGACATACATTATAAGCTCTGAAATCATGTTAGGAAAGGTGCCAAACCAACCAAACAAAGCAAGCAAGTTATGCAAAAAGGCTTAAAGCTTGAAACTAACCAAGGGGCTCGAACCAAGGCTATGCAAAATCTAAAGCAAATGACAAGTGTAATCCAAAACAGTCCTAGATCATGCCAAAATGAGCCTAAAACATGCAAGGACCAAAGCCAAAATAAGCTAGAACAAAGGGCCAAAAGCATGAGGCATGCAAGGCTACAAACGAGGTGTTACACGACACCTATCAAAACTAAACATGGCATGACTTAAGCAATGAAAAACAAAGTTATGGCATGCTAAAATAAGACCAAAAACCCACTTAAATGGCATCCCAAAGACCTAAACATGATAGCATACACAATGACCCATTCATGAGGCATAAAACATCAACTCTTTAAAGCATTAAAGGAGTGACAAGTGCAAGTGTTTGAGTATGAAACATGGACTGAAATAGTATAACAAATGATGCCAAATCATTGAAATGGTCCAAGAAAAGCATGCTAGTGACTTGGACACTCAAGGCTAACAAGCTAGCATGCCTTATGGCTATACAAAGCATGACATATGTGGTCAAAACAACTCAAATTAGAGCTTAAGCATGTTACAACAAGGCTAAAAGCTTCATGGAGTCGAGCCAAAATCATGCTAGAAACATGGCTTAAAGCATGATGCATGTTAAGGCAAATGCAAGGATTGCAAGGCAAGTATATGAAGCATACATTGTATGTCCAAACCAAGTCAAAATAGTGTTATATCATGGCAAAACAAAGCTTAATACATACTGAAATGAAGCTAAAACAAGCCAAGCAAACATGCTACCAATATAAGCCATTTATACTAGCACTCAAGACAATAAGGAGAGGGGATGACCCTCTCCTATTTAGGACCTCAAAACTACCTTCCCACCACTGAAAATCCTCTGGATTTCAGTGGTAGAAAGGTCATGCAA